CCATGTCTTGTTCCCTGTTGCTGTAAAAACTATCGGCATTGAACCGATGATACGACTTAGGAATACTTTGGGGGGTTCCAGATATATTGGCCGCTTGGAAGTATTTCATGATGAGGTTTGGGGTAGTGTCTGTGACCACTATTGGAGGTGGAAATCGTTCCACAACGCCATGGTGGCCTGTGCGCAACTGTACCTTGGGCCACCAAAAGTCGTCTACTATGGCATGCCCAAAAAAATTCAAGCGCTTCATATCTCGAAAATATGGTTGAACAATGTTAGATGCAACGGCGAGGAGCACCACATTTGGGACTGTAAGCACTCTGGTTGGGGCTCCTATGATTCCTGTGACCATTCAGATGATGTTTATCTCGAGTGTCAAACTCCTGGGGTTGTGACTTGCGTGAAACAATGCCCGACAGGATACTATAGAAATGAAAGTATTTGCTTACCGTGTGATTATAGCTGCACAACTTGTGTTGATTCTGTGAATAATTGTTCTAATTGCTCGAGTGGTTTTTATCACACACCGAATAACACGTGCGTCACACATTGTCCAATTGGTTTTTATACTTCAAATAAACAATGCCAGGTTTGTTACTCCTCATGTTTGACTTGCGATGTAGCTGCAGATAACTGCACTTCGTGTCGGTCACCTTACTTCCTGTCTGGCAACACATGTGTGTTGAACTGTCCCGAAAGGACCTACAAACGTCTCAGAATGAGCGGCATCAAGCTTATATATAAGTCTGGTCCGTATGAAGGAGTCGTACAGGTGAGTTAGCGGACAATGGTTGTGCATAGAAGCCTTACTTACGAAGTTATTTTAGTAATAGAACAACGATTTTGAGGAGACAAATTTAGATTTTTGTAATCGTAAGAGCACCATTGAGAGTTCTGGAAATAAACTATAGTTCGAAATCTGGAAGGAGTAGAATACTATACGACTGATGGTTTTTAAAAGAACTGGTTTGGAGTTGTGTTAGGGACTCAATGTAAGGTAAGGGAATGGGATGGATGTGACGTAGTAAGGTTGTGGTGTGGTGTGGTGTGGTGGGGTGATATGGACGAGGCAACGTGGTGTGAGGGAAAGTATGGTATGGTCAAGAATCCCAAGGTAAGGTCAGATGAAATAATTAATCCGATGCGAGTTAAGGTATAATAAGGTAAGTTGTGGTAATGTGAGGTAAATGCCAGGGAGGTGTGGGGAACCAGTGAGAGGAGGATAGAGGCAAACAAATGGAAGGGAAGTAAGGAAATGTAACGTAAGTTTAGGCAGATGGAGGTATGCTGTGGTGAAGTGAGGTGAAGTAAGGTGAAGTAAGGTGAGGTGATGTGATATGAAGTGAGGTAAAGTGAGATAAAGTGAAGCAGGGAGAGGCAAGGCGAATCAATATTAAGTGATGTGTGTGGTAAATTTTGGCAATGTTATGTGAGGTAAGGGAAAGTATGGTAAGGTGAGACCATGTAAGGAGTAGTGAGGTGAGGTACATGTGAGGCAAGATGAGTTACGTAAGGTAGTGAAATATAGATTCAGGTCCGGCAAGGTGTGATAAGGCGAGACATGACTTATTAAGGCTCTGTCACACTATTGCGAATGAGAGAAACATCAGAAGCGTATGAAAACTGAAAAATTTTCATACGCACAAAAATACTTTGAAATGTCAGCGTACGAGTACCGTACATCTCACGTACCTTTAGCGTATTCAAGCGTGTGCCTAGGGGTATGCCTATCGTATAAACCATACATCCGAATACGCACAAAATTTTTAAACTTGCTTAAAAAAATTCTTCCTCGCCTTATGCAAGCGTATGTCACCGTATGCGACTGTGCTTGAAACATATTCAACCTATATGCCCAACAAACCCCCAGCATATGACAGCGTTTTCCAGCGTATGAGTGATTTTTTTCATACGCTGGTCTGATACGCAATAGTGTGACAGGACCTTTAGCATAATCTATACAGTATTCTCTAACTGACCACTTCTGTCGCATATGAAATTGCGGGATCACTTCATTTTCTGATCAAAAAATAAATTGCAACAAATAACTCCTAAATATATCCTATGGATTATCAGCTAGTTCAACATTCCTAATATTATATTACAAATTGGGCACAGAATTAACGACGTTCTTGCATTACAGGTGACATTCAATGGCAAGACTGGCGTCGCTTGTGATCGAAATCTAACCATGGCAGACGGGAATGTAATTTGCAGACAGCTTCGTATGAGCCGTGCCGAAAGTGTCTACACCCAACTATGGTTTGATCAGATCTTGATCAGTTATCCCACTTGTGCTGGTAGTTCTTATTGTTTGTTTAAATCAGCCTGTAAATTGGCTTCCCGGAGTGCGCTTAATATTTTGGGTGCTGCAGGGAGTTTATATATAGCTAACTTGCAAATTTCATAAATTTGTGAAAACCTATGCACGCATAAATAATTTGTGACCTGCTAGTATCTTTACCACTAAAGTTATTTTGAAATGGATATTTTTGAGTACAGCAGGGTTGCTTTTGCAAACCACTTTAAAAATGGCTGCCATAGTAACTTTTCATGCAAAATGATTAGTTAAACATTTTGTAAATATTATGTAAGAAACCAATCATCCATAAATGTACATCAAATTGTCTGGTACTTTGTCCGTTCATAAAATACCTTCTATATTTACAGCTTAAGAAGCAGCGGAAGGTACCTATATATTGGCAGTGCTGTATCTACTCGAACTTTGGACTCTATTTTGATATATTCTTGGAGAAAATCACTCGTGTGTCCATTTTCCACTGAATTGCCATTCGTCATCCTATTACATACAGTTTACTGATATTACGGAAAGTTAAACAATTGAAATTGTCCCAAATAATTTTCTTATCAATATTTTCATTGTTAAACTTGAAACTGTTTCTCCTGGATGTCGCAGAGCCTTGCATATCACTTGTAAAAAGGGATAGGGTTTCCAGTTGTGCATGCAGGTTGACCTGAACCAAAATACATTTTTTTTAATACGAAGCGACCCAAAATATATTTGTGAATCACTATCAAATTGTCGTGTTTGTGACCGACGTTGTTTTGAAATCTGCAGTTCTCGATCATTTCTACTTTATTTTCTTTTTTATTTTGCTAAGGTAACGAGTCATCCTTATTTCAATGCCCGACACGTTATGAACAGTATGCATGGATAACTTGTTCCCAATTTGCCGTGATCTCCGTTCGTTGTAGAGGGCCTGATCCCGCGAGAAAATGCGTTGACAGCTGTCTGTCCAGTTCCGGATTGCTTTTGACTGCTAATGGTGTTTGTCAGGCGTGTTCTAACAACTGTTTGCAGTGCTCGAAAAGCCTCTCTAATTGTACTGTTTGCCATAAAGGTAATTAACAATCGGTGAAAAGGGTGTATTTTGGGGGCAGTGTACGTATGGCTGCAAGGGCCGTAGCTAGACACGATAATTGTTATTATTATTATTATTATTATTATTATTATTATTATTATTATTATTATTATTATTATTATTATTATTATTATTATTATTATTATTATTATTATTATTATTATTGTTCCCTCTGCCTGAACCCTGAAACCCTTGTGCATGTAATCGCGGGATGCCAGTCATACCGATTTACTTGGAGACATGACTCCATTCTCAATTTTGTCGCAAAAATATTCCAACCTGAACACAACTCCACGCTATTTGTTGATCTTCCTGGATACAAGAGCCCATCAATAATAACCGGTGACACTTATCGCCCAGATCTGCTTCTTTCGATTTCAAATGATTGTCTGTACATACTCGAACTCTCTGTAGGATATGAATCCAATCTCCAAAACAACGTCGATCGCAAAAGGGAAAGATACAAGGATCTAATTACGCAGCAGAAAAACCATTTCAAAACTGTCAAATTTATTAATTTGTCTATTAGTGCCTTAGGTGTTTTCTCAAAAGAATGTAGCACGTTTATGAAAATGTTGAACGAAGTTGGTCTTGATAAAAAACATTAAAACTTTTGTGTTAAGAAAGTAATGTCCATCGCCATCAGAACAACGTACTATATATTTTGTTGTAGAAACAAGGATTGGACCGATCCGGACTTGATGAATATTTAAGAATGAGCTTTGTCTCAGTTTTATACCTGTAATATAGTTTTATCAATAATTAATATCAAGTAGTCAATTATAAATTACCTTAATTAGTGAGATTTATAATTGTATATACATAAAATGTCAAAATAAAGTTTCGATTATTATTATTATTAATGGTTTAAGACACACACCTTCGCAATAGATTGAATTATGGTGCGTTTACAAAATTAGTACGCTATATATATTTACATATATAAAAAATTAAGTTGCATGCATCAAGTCTAAAAATCGTATTGAATTGCATTAAAATCATCGTAATTAAGTATCACGCTTAAGTTTCTTTACTATAACTATTATATAAAGTTACTGTACTGGGAAAAAAAGCTACGGCAATATCTTTCCGTTCGGCGTTTTATTGTTGTTAATGTGTTAGAGTTTCTAAGTTCATGATCATTTGAACTAGCCCTAAACAATGGAACATATTTTGACAGTGGTCCTTCAATTTCTATGCGTTTCATAGTATTGAGGCAATGACGTTCTCGCTTTTCATCCAACCTGGAACACCCAAGTTGTGCTAATGCTTCCCTATAAGAGTAACCCGGTAAAATGATCCTCAGCGCTCGTTTTTGCATTCGCTCTAACTCATCGGCGAGGTACAAAGGTAGGGCATCATGCCATACCACACAGCAGTACCCCAGAACCGATCCTATTAAGGCAAAGTATATACTCAATAAGTCTTCCGCAGGGACACCACCTCGTCGTAATATGCGGATGATATATAAACGTTTAGAAGCCTTGGATACAACTGACTCTATGTGTGCATTCCATTTAAGATCGTTATGAATAACCAGACCTAGCACTTTATGAGACAGCACAACCTCAAGCGCATGACCGTCGATCAACAATGGTGATAGATCAGGTGATTCCCTCAGAAAGCAAACGCGTAGTTCTTTCCACTTTTGGGGTTAAGTTTCATAAGGTTGCACGAAGCCAAAGAATTTATAGTATCAATACAGAACTGAAACTTTGAATTGCTGCCTTTTGTGATATTTTCAGATGTTGATATGTCATCCACAAATTTCCAAATATCCGTTGCGTGTGGTTTCACATCGAGATCATTTATCATCGCCAAAAACAGAATTGGACCGAGTTTAGTTCCCTGAGGGACACCCGCATTCATTGGCAACCAGTCTGACGTTTTTCCTCCAAGTTTGACCCGATGACGGCGGTTAGTTAGGAAGTTGATAATCCAAGGCAACAGGGACGATCTAACACCTCGGTCCAACAGCTTTAATATTAGTAAATTATGTCCTATACGGTCAAACGCCTTTTCGAAGTCAAGGAAACAAAGTCTAAGATGTTTTTCAGGACACTCTAATTTGATCAACCAAGTGTGGATCATGTCTAAAAGGCAATAAGTTGTGGATGTTCCTTTCAAGCATCCAAACTGCTTGGGGTCGATCTTGTCTTTAATATCGGTTATCATCCACCCGACCACGAAATCTTCAAGAACCTTAGCCAGGCAGGGTGTCAGTGAGATGGGTCTGGTGTCACCTTCACAGGTAGGAGGTTGTGATTTTGGAACTGGAATGATGTCTGAGTCTTTCCATATTGCAGGCACGATTCCAGATGAAAGTGATTCATTGAAAATAGTTGCAACAGGTTCGGCTAATTCATGGGCAAACTCTTTCAGGATACGACAGGGGACGTTGTCTGGGCCGTGAGCTTTAAAAGGTTTAATTTCTAGGAGCTTTTTACATACTTCATGCGGTTGAACTGTTGGAGCAGGTTCTTTGGCCGGAAGAAATGCCGGGAGTGTCGCTAAATTAAGTGGTGGAATGTCACTATTCACCGATGCATAGAACACATTCAAAGCTCTAACTAATTCTGATTGATCCAGAGTTCTTCCATCATGTTCAAGCGAGAAGGAGTTCTTTCCAGATTTTCCTGCCATTTTATTTACGATTTTCCACCACATACGGCAGTCATCCTTCTTTAAATGTTGTACCTTTGTTTTGTAGTACGATATTTTCCTCGCATTGATTTCATGTTGGACCTTATATTTCAACGATTTCCACAAGATTGTATTATGACCATGAAACGCCTTTTGTCGATATTTGATAAGCTGTTTTATTGCAGGTGTTATCCATGGTTTATCCGTGTGATGACGTGTTGACGTCTGTTGTGGGAAGATTCGGTCAATACTTTCTGTTAACTGGTTTGTAAACGAGATTGCCAAGCTATCAACAGTAGGGTTGGGTTCAAGGTCACAAAACCAATTATGTGTGGTAACCCATCTTCCGAAAGCATCTAATCCTAGTATATATATATATATATATATATATATATATATATATATATATATATATATATATATATATATATATATATATATAGCTATATACATTTGCATTTTATAATAATTAAAATAGTACTGATTAGTGATTATTACCTCCGCCAGGAGGTTATGTAATCATCTGGGTTTGTATGTGTGTGTGTGTGTGTGTATGTGTGTGTGTATGTGTGTGTGTGTGTGTGTATGTGTGTGTGTGTGTATGTGTGTGTGTTTGTCTGTGAGCACGATAACTCAAGAAATACCAAACATATCCGTACGAAATTTTTTGAATGCATTTCCCATCGGCTAAGGAAGAACTGATTAAAATTTGGTTGAATTTGGTTAAAAATTGAACGAGAAATGAACAAAATTTTGTCTTGCTTTTCCCGGTCAATTAACAAAATATATTACTGAATGCGTAATTAGGACGTGTATAATTTATGCACTCAGTGCTAAGACAGTAATGAGATGATAAACCTCATTAAGCTTCGGCCTTCATTATCTATTGTCTTAGTTGCATTTCACGCGACCGAAATTCAATGTCTAAAACAAGGCTTACGGAGTTACGCATTATTACGTTCAGCAAAGTGCCAGTCCATTCAAATTCTAACAACATTAGATTACTTCAATACAGTGTGTATAAAAAGAACGCAACCTCGGAATTTCCCAAGAAATCGACATTGTTTTAAAGACAAAAGATTTTAGCTGCCTGGGAATTTAAAATAGCTACAACTGTGAAAATTACTGCACGCGCGAGTGCATAAAGCAAAATTTATGCATTTATTTAATGACACTTAATAAGTTTTTATTTTACAAGTACTGTACAGCACAACAACAGTAATATGTTCTATTAGCAATTCGATTTCAATTCGCGGGGGCCTGAAATCTTTTATGCTTAAGAATTGTAAAATGGATTTCTTAGGAAATTCCAAGGTTGCCTTTCACTTCCGAGTAACGGGCGGAGGTATGCAGTCTCTGAGTGCCCTCTAGTCTTAGTTATATTAATAGCTGTATCATAATAAATTGGTGTATGTAATAAATTTTTACAAAACACTTAAAACTGCAAGTGAAGTTTTAACTTAAGCTAAGGCGGTGATTATCATCGTGGTGCATGGCGGGCAATTGTGAGTAATTGTAACCGGCATTGTAAAACCCATGTTAACATGTTTCATATGATTTAAAGTTTGTTCGTTCACTGCAACCAGGTATATCAATCATGTTTCGCTCGCTACTCTGGTTTAAATAAATGATTACAAAGCCCAGTCGAATTGTAATCAAGACCCAACGTTTCGACACTCCAGTCTAGTGTCTTCATCAGGGGTGATCTAAAATTGCAATCGTGGCTTCTTAAATACCCAAGGGATGACGTCACCTGCCAATGAGATGCATATATTCCCCTGGCAAATAAGCACCGTCATCCCTATTCAAAGCATGATTACTCATATTTACATGCCACGCTTCTAGGCAAAGTCTTTGACCATAGCGATTGTTTGTGGTAATTACTTTAGAGTTTTCCCACGCAATCTCGTGTTTGGTGTAACATACATGTTCAGCTAAAGCTGATTTTCCCTCAAGTGTCTAAAGTTGAAACAGCCTTTTGATGTTCTTTTAGCCGTGTACCAAACTGGCGTTTAGACTGACCCAAATACTCTTTCTCGCAGTCACTGCATGGTATAGAATATACAGCATGAGTTTTCTGATTTGTTTTAACAGGATCTTTTGGCTTTGCGAAAATATGGCCGCTAAAGTCAAATAGGGTTTTAAGGCAACCTTAATATTACAATAGACCTTATAATACCTTGAATGTATGGAACTATTGCATAACCCTTAACAGAGGTACCACCCTCGGAGTTATTTTGGTTCCTACAAAGAGGTGATCTCAGGCAACCATTAAGAAAACGTTTTGGGTAATCGTTTTCCCCTAAAACATTTAGAACATATTCACGTTCATTAGCTTGAGAATCACTGTTTAACGGCAAGGATTCATCTCTTTGAAGCAAAGTGTTTGTTACGGATCTTTTATGGCTTACTGGGTGATGAGAGTCGTATGACAAGTATTTGTCGGTGTGTGTGGGTTTGCGATAAACATCATGAAAACTTTTCTCGCTTGACTAAGTGAAAGGAAAACCAAGTTAAATTTCATTTAGGGACCGCGGATCCTGTTTTGAAGGCTGGATTTTATCCGGTAATTTTTTATTACCCACCGAGAAAGTGGGGGGGGGGGCATGTCTCTCTCGGCTCCCCCCTGTCCGCGGTACCTGTAAATTACAGTATACAATAAAATGAATGTAAACTTGTGGGCCAAATAATCTTCATCTGAGCGTATAAGATTAATTTGATTTGATTTAATAGTTATTTTGATTCCTACAAAGAGGTGATCTCAGGCAATCATTAATTTTACATATCAATAGTAAAAATACGTACCTTTAGGTTTCCATGAGAATACAGACAGCTGAGGGGTTTCATGGGAATGGAATGTGATCACTTGATAATCTGGTTTATGACAGAATTTTATATACCCTAAAATGTAATATTGCAAACTCTATGAATAAACAATATGTTAGTAAAAAGATCAGTGAATTGACTGGGGGGGGGGGAGCTTATTGATTTTGCCAAAATGCTGTCCTTCAACAGTAAATTGGCATGAATTTTATATTCAAGACTCGATCATTATAATCAACCACATGTAACCGGTACCCATGTTCTTTGTTGTGAAGGGGAAGAGCCTTGATAAAGAGGGCAGAGGGGGCATTTTGTAAATTTCTTCCTTGAACAAGGGCTTGACTATTAGAACAGCAGGGCTTGTTTGAAAGGGGTGTTTAATTGCTAGGTGATTACCAGTAAACTTCTGTTTTGAGTGGAAATTTATATACATAATAATAATAATAATAATAATAATAATAATAATGGAAACTTTATTTATTGATTATTAGGATATATACAACTACAATGATAAACCTCGCTTTACAGGTAGCTTATCAATGTCTACTTGAATTGATACTATATATTTATTGCACAATAATTATTTTAAGAAGGATTATATTAACATTAATTTTAGGTTATCCCACACCTTGTAATAATAATAATAATAATAATTTATATACATTTAAACTTATATTCATTTAATTTATATACATTCTAACAAGGAACAGCTGCGAAAAATGCAACTTTAGGTCCCTGTCTAATAAATGTATATAAAGCAGGTTCGACTCCTGCCAGGGACCTAAACTTTCATTTTTCTCAGCTGTTCCTAGTTAGGTCTAATAAATGTATTTAAAATTCCACTTGATAATTTCCATCTACAATACCCTTCAACAAAATCTTGATATTTACCCATAACCTCACATACCCTAGTATATAATTATATACATGAATTTGTGGTTAGAGATCGACAACTGGCCTCTGTAGCTCAGTTGGTTAAAGCGCTGCACCGTAATTGCAGGGCTGCAGGTTCGATTCCTCCAAGGGATCAAAAGTTGCATTTTTCGCAGTATTGGCTGGCCCAAACAAGTTGTGTGATGCTAGTGAATTGAGCTTATGGACGAACTGCTGCGTGCTTGTGTTTCCAGTGTGCTGCTGTATGCCTCCGAGACATGGACTTTGAAGAAAGATGAGTGAGGGCTGAGAGCACGGGCACGTGTGTAGAATGAATGACGATCGATTACTGAAGGTTATTATGCTAAGTATGCTCGATAGGACCAATAGAAGGGCACAGATCATGGATCAATTACATCAACGAATGGACAGGCATGTCCCTGCACCACATGATGGAGATCGTACATGACCGCAAACAATGAAAGACGGCCGTGAACGGCAGTTAATGAAGCACCAACCGGCCCGTATGCAGGGCCGTAGCTAGACGCGATAATTGGGGGGGGGGTGTGTATATTCATGTATTCATGTTCACATACCGTAAAAACAATCGCTTTCAAAAGAAATCCGTCGGGCAGAACACAAATATATGAATATGTACCCCCCGCCCTAGCTATGGTCCCGCTTGTATGGGCTAACTACAATATTGGTTCACCTTTTCAGAAGTTATTGTTTTGCAGCAGAAGCATATTTGCAGTTGTGCTGTAAAGTTTTGGCATTGGCATACGGGAGGGAAAAAGGTCGGGTAGCAGACAAAATGCCAAAATGGCCCAACCAAAATAGCCCAGGTGAATTTTCGAATTATTATTTAAGACATTTTGACTCAATAACACATATTGTCTAACTGATAAGCAAGATTAAACACCTGCATATCAACAGAACATCTTTACAATCAACAACAGACTACTTGATCCTCACTGAAAATTTATCTTCACAAGTTCGCACATGCAATGTTTCATATGACATACAGTGTATGGCATTGTACACACATGCAAATACTTACTTTTTATTGACATTGTCATTGAGAACAAATAGACTATTTTCATGTTAATTAAGTAGCAAAACTACAAAACATATTTTGTTATTTTAGGTATTGAACTCTTTAATAATCAAATGGTGAATGGCCAATATTACTAATTACTGTTAGTGTTGACATATCAATATTACTGCAGCAGCAGAACAGCCAGTGGCACAACAGAGGAAGAGGGGGCCCTTCAGGCCCGTAGCTGAGGCCCCCCCCACTTGGTGGGGCAGTGCCCCCCAGTGCCCCCCCCAGTCGGAAATAAAATTGAAATTATGCCCCCCTTACGTTTTGCAGAACTAATAGCTGTTAATGTTGTTTTTTTTGGGCTAAGTACCGAAATTTGGTATGAAAAATTGAGATAAAGGACCTGGAAACCAATTGCAATCACGGGACATGATAAAAATAAATTCCAAAATAAATTCCGGAAAAAAATTTTTCTCATCTCAAACCCTCGGTTAGATTCTTTCTGCAGTGCCCCCCCCCCCCCAGAAATTGAGAGCCAGCTACGGGCTTGGGGCCCTTATGCATATTTGGTGTGGGGGCCCCTGTTAACTGTTGTCATTGTTTGACTGAGATATTATTTTATATTGAATATTAATTTTATAGAATGTTCTGGAAAATTCTGTGTCTATATCAACAACAATAACAGTCTCCAAACCATGTAACAACTAATCACTAAAGAATAATTTTTGTTTTACTTGAGATGGAATAAAAAAATCAGATACCGTTGTCGACGGAGGCTTTATTATTTTGCATTTTCCCATTGATTCTTAATTGCTGCCGAAGGCAGCCTCCTATTCTTGACGATGTGTTATAGCGCATTTGAATTTCCCGCCAACAGTTTTATATACTGAAGCTCATCTCGATTTTGTGTCGGCAGTTGTGACGTCATATTATGACGTTGCAGTAAGGAATTTGCATTGGAGCGTTATCATACCCCAGGAATTCAAAATAGCAAATCGATGACTGCCGAATACTTTGTTTAGCGACTGCGAACGACGTACCAAGTATGGCGTTTAAAAATATTTCGATCAGCAAGCTTGCAGCATTTTAACACGAGGTGTCGAGGTCAGGAGCGAAGCAAAGACATACTTTGTATAAATGCTGGCCTTTAATACTTCAAGTTTTGTGAGAAAGGGAGATCGTTTAGAGGTATGTCAATTTGCTCAATTTTTTCTTTTCTTCTATTGCTCAATTCACAGCGCGAATTATGTATATCATATATTTTCATACACTATTTATAATGAGAAATGTCTGTGTGTACTAGCCTAAAACATAGTCTGTCATACATATTAAATATTAAAATGCACCCATGTGATGGCTATGAATGTTTAGCTCCACGGTTAAGAGGATTTAGCTTTAAATATATTTCATTTATTAATGTAGCATATTATTCATCACGCAGAAGGTTGTGTATAAACCCGTGTATAAATATATTCCTATTATCCTATAGCAACCCAGTGTGGATTGTTGTCAGCATATATTAACTGAGTTACCAGCAGTTACAAGGTATGATGGTCAGACTGTAAAAATATACCTCTGAGATATGTCCATTGTTAGCACAATATGAAATAATCCTACTGGCCTTCATGTATTCACCATTTCACCTGGCTGTACGTGTCACCACCACATTTCAGGATTTTTGATAATGCACCAGTCAGTGGAATGCCCCGCACCCCCTACCTGGGGAATAGCGGTGAATTATTGAGAGATTGAACCTTATATTCGACCATGCTACACAGGGATTTAGACTGTATTAGTTATATTATCAGGTACCGGGGACTTTGGCAGGACTTATATCGGGGATTAGAACTAGCGGCTAAATCGAGGAATGCACATTTACATGACGCCATCTTGAATTCATTATTAACTCGGGACATTTGTGGTTATCTTATGATAATAATGAATTAGTAAAATGGTTATCCATTAAAGTGCTCCTTTATCCCTTGTCTACATCCGTAGTTTATTTCTATTGTCAGCTGGGAGGTAAACACGCAATAAAAACTTTATTAAATTGAGTAGAGATATTTACTATGAAAAGTTGCCGAATGGCGAATTCAATCGTGTTCTCCGATTTCCCATCTACTGTGTATACAAATTCCTATAGTAGGATAAAGACTCGAGTTTTAGAGTATTAAAGGGCGAATATCTCCGTTCAGTTTTTCAATGAAAAAGGAAAACTAGGGCTGTTTATACAGAATTTCATGCAGAATCGAAGGGTATTTTCGGAATTTCCATCTACCGTGCACACAACTATGTGCTCACTATACGAAAGTAAATTTGCGTGCCAGAGACTAAGTGTCGATTAATGCATACAAATCACTGTGAAAAATGTCGATACGCGAGATGTTGTTATTTTGTATATTCGGCCGGTTTATTTTCCTTTATATGATATCAAAAGCTAAATTAAATCATTGTAATATGATTATTTATGATTTAAAAGCATTAAAAGTGTATTTATTGTAATTTTTGCTGCTGTAAACTAGCTTTATTATGACCATTTTTAATAGACTATTTATAAAGTGGCAATGAGCGAGCGACAATTATCCAATCAAAATCCACTATTTTAATTTTCCCGCGAATACGTTTGTTTTGATTACATCATTCATGGTTGATACTATGACATCATAACTGAGACCCAGGTCATTGCGCGGAATTCAAGATGGCGTCGGGCAAATGTGCATTCCTCGATTTAGCCGCATGTGGGATTAGACATAGCCGCCATCTTGAAAACGAAAAAGGACTGGGAATGAAAGCGAGCTGATAATTTTGCGAACGAACTGACAAACTCTTGTGTGATTAGGTCACCGTTTTATTTTCTTGAAAGTTATTGTAAACCATTTAGATGTTCTATTTTTTTAAGCATTCAGTATGGACCATAGATATGACTTAAATTTTAAGTAAAAAGGGAAAGGCCCAGTTTTTAGGGGCCCAGAACAATGAGCAAAACTAAATCGAACTGAAAAGAATCCAGTTTAATAGATGTGCGAAATTAAGTACGAATAAGGTAGTATTTATCAAATAGGTCTATTTCCTTTAGACGGATATTCTTTGTAGATATTGTATGCAGGGACATTATGTGTGTTTAGGCAAGTGGGAGTGGCCCATATAGCAGAGAGTGAAATAGAGCAAGGTCTTGGTCTAATGTCCCGCTGTTCCCCGGGTAGGGGGTAGGGGTATTCCACTGACTGGTGCATAATGCTCACAATTTCTTTCTTATATAGTTTTGAAGTTCTGAGTGTGTACTATCTTAGTCTTTACAAATGAATGGTGCCATCTGAAGCTGACATATTAAACAAAAATGTCGACAAATATAGATTTTGTCTCCCATCAGCAGATTGTTCAGTTGTTCTACAATAGAGGTAGCCTTGAAGGTGACATTAAAACAATAATTGGGAAAAAACTGACTTAGTATTTCTATATATGAAATTGTTATTAAATTCTATGTGTCTAATGATTCATTCAAGTATTATTATTGTTTATACGTACATATGGTATTATAACTATTATTGTTCAGTATTGAGTGGCAAGCTAGCCATGGTAACTGGTCATGGTATGCTAATAGACCTGCAATGCAAATCATTAAAAACCATAGCATGACCTAGCTGTTACTATGGCTAGCTTCACCAGTGCTGACAGTAATTATAATTATACATACAAAAACAAGAAGTTATAAGCATTGAAGGAATTCATATAAATTTGGCATGCCAAGAAAGTAGAATTAGAATATTTAGCTGACCTTTGACTTTGTGCAAGGTGTTTGGTATTCAAATTGCACTTTCCCTACCTCCTGAACAGGCATCTTAGGCTAAGGGGCCAGGGGCGGATCCAGCCAAAAATCTGACCGTAGCATTTTCCAAGACCTCGCATACCTAGGGGGGTCCGGGGGCATGCCCCCCCCCGGAAAATTTTTGAAATTTGAAGCCCGGAAATGCCATTTCCTGCGTTCTGAGCACTGCATGTGACCATTAAATTTGTCCTCATTGTATTCATTTCTCAAGCAAAAATAAGCCAAAATGATCTCAAAATGTAAACTATTGCTCGCGTATATTTTAACATACGATATCGGTATGATACTCGTATCATACGCATATCATTATCAATTGAATACCGAAATGCGCGTATCATCTACGAACGCGTGTATCATAAGAATACGCATATCATATATGAACGCGCGTATGATATGAATACGCGTATCTTAACTATCTTATGAATATATACGCATTACAAACAAATATTAGCGCGCTATAAAACACGATATATATACGCGCGTATCATAATTCGCGTATTAATTCCAATACATGCAGGTATACTGTACATACGCGCACAAACACTTTAATAAAGCGAAGTTAATAGCGAACACTATACAGTAAAAACTCAAATTAAAATATAATGTGCATCTCTTATCATTCATAAGGCTTACCTGACTGGAAATGATTCGTTTTACTATCTGATTTTATTTCTACCTCGACGCATATAAATTAATCCTTTAGCTTTACGACGGCTTTCATTTCGAAATGCGCACAACCGTACTGTGGGTTCCCAATAGCATGTTGTTGATGAGCCAAACACAAATATCAGATATTCCATCGTTCTGGAGCAGTAGCCAATTTCATGCCACCGTAGCAAACTATAGCATTTGCCCCATTCCGATTGGTTTGCTACGTTTGACCGTAGCAAACCAATCAGAATGCCGTATATGCCAATTTTCGCTACGGTCAGATTCGACCTTAATGAATCTGACCGTAGCGAAAATTGATCATATATGGGCAACACGCTACGGTGTATTTCTGAAGGATGATATTTTCTAAGCTATAGTCCATTGCGTAATGACCCGCAAACGGGCAATTACAACCGTATTTTCGGGCGGGAATTCTTAAAACAATTAACGTTACGTATTATAAATGTCATCAATTTGTCAAAATAAAATGTTTTAGAACATATAAAACTAAATAAAATAAAACCTTGAAATATAAACAAGGAAAGTAAACAAAATATTGCTAAATTATATTTTAGATTGATTTTATGATCCATGTTAGAACTGGCCTATGGAAAATCTGACCGTAGCATATGCTACAGTTGCAACGGTCTAAATCCGCCCCTGGGGGCTGTTTACATGATGGAATGTGGGATGATTTTGATGTATTGAAATACGTCCATAGGCTAAACGAAAGTCCAAATGCTGGTTAACAAAACTCAAATGTTGTAGAGCAGATCTTGTAGTTCAAGAAGATTATTATTGCTGCTTGAACAACCTTTCAGTTTACAGATAACTATTGCTATCTCTCGAAAATAATGAAGTTTTGTGCTGAAGTGTACACCGTGACTTATTTAAATACATCTAAATCATCCCGCCTCATATATCATCCTGGCAAAGCGGGATCATAAAAACAGCCCCTTATTCAGCAAATAGTGCATGCTGCCTTTGACCCCTTGGGGGTGAGGCAGCACTTTCCTTGCGATAGTAACTTCTAGTTAATTAACCTGCATTTTTTACGTTTTCTAATTTTCCGGGCAATATAGCCGTGGCTGATGGGGGTCCCTAACTGTCGGGGGCCCTTAGTTTTTTAACTAACCCTATCCAATGAGTGTTAAAACGCCACTGAGAACATCCTGATTTAAATGGATTGACCAAGGCACAAGAGTAAAAATTAAAACAGAATGCATGCTATTGTGGTTTAAGACAAGGGTATATACTCAGCGTTTTAGACCCTGTTCACACAGGGCTGGATGAATTCGGAACCATACTCAAATTCATCTGGTTTCGCCTTGCATTCACACAGGACACATGAAACTGGACAAATTCCAGCACAGCTAACCATACAAATTTGAGACCAAATAAAATTAGCATTTTGCACGGTAGTCAGAGGTTGCACGGTAGAGGATTGGAGTAGAGACCACCTGTGCTGTGTATATATTAAATACTTCCGGTGTCACAGGAGATTCGCCCCCCCAGGAGATTCGCCCCCCCTCTCAAAAGGGGGGCGATATTCCTCGGATATTCGCCCCCCCGGGGCGAATCTCCTAGGAATATCGCCCCCAGGGGGGCGAATCTCCTAGGAATATCGCCCCCCCTTTAGGAATTTCGCCCCCCCCCCCATATAAATTTTGAATTTTTGATCTAAGAACAAAACGATTGCAAGTTGAAAAGATTTATTGTGTGATTTATTTATTTATTACAAGGAGACAAAATCACATACACATTTTAAGCTTCTTAGGCTTAGCAGCTGGTGGTGTGCACAGTCTGCATAATCACTCATTTGAGGTACTTAGACTAGTGTCATATTCTACACATCTAAAGTGGAACCATAATCAACCATTGCCCACAGAGATCGCATAAAATCATGTTGTCGTATTCTTCTGGCAGTTACATTCACATAAGTTGACATAACATATTATAAAAACAATCGCTTGCAAATTTTATCAATACCAGTGTTAACAATAGCCGCCACATTAATCACTTGCTAACAATAAACTATAGGATTAATAAAAAATCTATGGAATTTGTTGGGAAGCGTATTGACTATTGTCCATTGAATCGTCAACTTTCCATGTCAGTGTCAGTGATGTAATCTTGATTTTTAACTTCCGCAAAGAAAATTGCATTTTATATATGTGGTGTGGTTTATTCAAATAATTTCATGATACTTTGATTTTATTAGTGCCTTAAGCATTCGAGAATGTAACTCTGCAAAACTAAAAGCTTTTTTGTCTTTTTTGAAACGTATATTATTGGAGTATTGCTTATTGGCAAGTTCTACCCTTCGCTTCTGAAATTTACAAACTATATTGAAATAATGCAAGTAAAAAATAGTGACAACTTGTAAGCCATACATTTTCCGATAACGACAAAATGTGGATGCAAAACAATACCAATAATTACAATAACCACCACGGTGATTACTTTTTAACAATGAGTTTAAGGATTAACACTAAAAATGCAAAATATGCGTGGTGTGCTGTGAAGCGTCATAAGTCTTAGTCTATTAACTGTGAACTGTGTAAGCCCTTTCGATACATGTAACTGTAAATTTGTATTCTTACAGGGCTTGAAATAACGTTCCCAAAGTTCTCGATCATGACTTTCCCTAATTTTTTCAGGTTGGAAACCGAAACTCTGCTTTTCCGCCAATCATAAGCAATTCCATGCCGATCATTGATCGATTGTTATTTCAAGCTCTGTCTTAACAATTTTGAATTGATACTGATTTCAAATGACTAAAGCCATGTAATAATTATCCCATGTAACTGTTAGGAAGGGCGAAATTTTGAACGGAGGACAAAAATCCTAAAGAAAAGGTGAAGTTTCTAAAGGGGGGCGAATTTCCTAAAGGGGGGCGAATTTCCTAGGATTTTCGCCCCCCAAGGGGGGGCGATATTCCTAGGAATTTCGCCCCCCGGGGGGCGAAATTGTAGGGGGGGGCGAAAATCCTGGGACACCGGGACTGAGACCATCTGTGCATGTGTATATAATTAGCACTAACCATGGGTTAAACTTAACCCATTTCTTCGGTTTATGTATATCTGTACGTAGGAAATTAAACTTCTGATGATCTAGACAAGATTTCTGAAAAAATTTTTCCAAGTTTAAAATTAAACAAGCTGCTGGGATTATTATATGATTTGGATGTTATGTTAACCAGGGTTAAGCTAACCAGCTTTAGAACAACCAGCCCTGGGATTACAATTCATTGGTTCTGTTTGAATTGTAATCCCATAGGCTGGCATTGTTCAACTTACAGTAATTAAGTAAATAAATTCAAAAGTAATGTTAGTAATTGTACTGTCTGTTATATATTTGATAACATCTGCTGTTTAATTTACATACAGTAATTAAAGTCATTTATTTTTTTGTTAATAACTGAAGACACTGATCACCAGATGAGAAAATTAACATCTGCTGAGTCTGATCAAATTGAAATGTGCATGATTGTACATGGAAAACATATATTACTCCCTCACAGGCAACCAAAACCATAACAAACTTAACCCTTTAGCTGCAATGTGCCCAAATTTGCCCTAGCTACTTTATTGTTCTACTCTGTCTAATGCCAGATGATTTTACTCATCACAGGGAGAGTGCATGCATTGCTGCTACTCAATGGGTTTATCAGACTATCTGCCTTAAAAATGCACCCTGTTAACCCTGTAACTGGCAATGTGCCCTACGTTATTAGTTTACTCTAACACCTAGACAATTTTACTCATCAGGGGGAGAGTGCTGCCACTAGAGCTGTGCGGTTAACCGAAAAATTCGGTTCTTCCGGTACTTTTTTCAGCACCGAAAAACTATACGCAAAAAACCGGTAGTTTCGGTTTTAATTTCCCGTTTAACGCCCACCTGATTGCGGGTTGAAATGTTTGGAAAATAACAAGATTGTGCTCTTTGTGCACAATATGCACTGTACTAAGTGCTCAAATAGTTGATATTTTAGTTGTGATAGTTATTTTTGTGAACTTGCTTTAAATTTTTTTAAAAACTAAGAAATATTACATCTTATTCTAAGAAATATTACATCTTGTTCTTTTAAAATATTCAGAGATTTACACAAACTTACAAAGGCATAAATTCATCTATTTAGTAAAAATGCTTGAAACATGCATAAATGAGTTCATACATTTGTACTGTTCTTCTTTTTTGAAAATAACCGAAACCGAACCAAACCGATGTTTTTTTGTTCCAAAAAAACCGAAACCGGAACCGAGATAAAATTTTTGGAACCGCACAGCTCTAGCTGCCACTCAATGGGTTAAGCAGTAAAAAATTTCAACAAGAGGGCTCATGTGTTGTGCAACAATGCCAAATCTTATTACTAGCAAGTTATCAAAAGTTTGTTATATTTTCAAAACAATAATGGAAAGGAAATTTTAACAAGCCCTCCTGATCAGCACCCACCCCTTGCACTACACCCCTTAGAATTTGTGAGGATAAATCTGTGTACAGTGTCTAGCTATCTGAACTTTGCAGCAAGAGTCACAAAGAGAAAGGCTGCCACCATAAATTATCTTGGGAAATATCTGTCAAATATGAGTACCAAATATGAGTATAAAACTATGGCATCACATGGAATATATCTTGGGAAATATCTGTCAAATATGAGTACCAAATATGAGTATGAAACTATGGCATCACATGGAGCTAAGCTATATAAGGTCATGCAATATTATATCACAGTTTTTACTCTCCCCCTGATGAGTAAAATTGTCTGGCGTTAGACAGAGTAAAATAATAAAGTAGGGTGCATAATGCATTTGGCCATAATGTACATTTATGAACTGCTGGAAACCATTGCTGCTTGACAACAATGTATTTGCAACAATTTTTAAATACAAAATACATGTTTTCAAGAGTTTCAAAACCTTGGAAACATAAAAAACCTTGAAAAAACATTCCCTGATCTTACCTAAATTGAACCACAAAGTTAAGAACAGGAAATGAATTTTCATTAAATTGCAAATTTCGACCAAATCGATCACAAAATCAGCTCAATATACTTTGGATATGAACAGCTTAATATTTATATTATAATTATTATAAAACTGCAACAAATTGCATGAACAAAGTTTGTAAATCTCCTAATGATTTAGTTACATTTATATGGATCGAACTTTACTCAATATTCGTAGAATTTAAAAACTGGCAAATTATCTCTGGAATTTAACAGATTCGAAATTACAAACATTTTCAAAGGCGTGCAACATTTTAATAAAACCACGGCTATTTACATGTATAATATGAGTTACATAACGCTTCAAAATTATTAATAAACTAAAGTCTAAATACTTACAATCGAATGCCTTTTCGCTATTTTCACTGCCGTCGACAGGGATTAAGACGTTGAACGTAGACATGTTTTTATTTCCAAACAAATGTCGTAAATTACAATTGTGGCAACAGAACCAATATCGCTGTTGATATATAAATGCACGTACCCCCCAGGATTCCGCTACGGCGGTCAAATTTCGCGTGGCCTTGCCATCTGCCGTATTGTATTTTTATTAAATGAGCACTATTTTTGAAATCGCCAACAAGAATTGCAAAAACTTAGAGCATAAAGCTCCTCACAAAAAAATAAATTAGAATATTGGAATTATTAGAATAAGGGAATTCAGAATGTAGATTTTATCATTCTTATGAACAGAATCGACGGGGGGGGCGGGGGTTATTTTTTGCTATTCGAACTTGCGAATCAGAACATTAAAACACAATATAATAATTGAACGTCGATGATTAATATTTAGCAATCTTTCATTACAACTGTCAAAATGCTGCCTTAATGATCTACATATATATATGGAAATTTTGATGATATTGCTTTATTTCTGTGTTTGGTGAAATTCAAACGCGACCGATCGCCCAGTTGGACCCAGTTGGCCAGCCACATTTGCAGTCTGAAATCACTGGAACGCAAACAAAGAAACACTCCGCTTGTCAAATATGGCAGCACAAGAAACAAATAGTGGTCGCGTAGTTCTCATTGCAGTCGATGGCAGCCATAACAGCGAAAATGCATTTCAGTGTGAGTAGTTCTATATAAAAATCTTTGTTTTTTATTTGTTTTTGAAACAACACGACTCATAACTATAAATAATGAAAATATAGTTTTGATCAAATTATTCAAATCTAAAACTGGTGTGTGTGCATGAGTGTGTCGAGTATTCATTTATTGAGAAATTTAAGCTGTATATATACTATGTATTACCCTCATGATCTGATATGGTTTAATAGATATTCGACCTCAATTATCACATAAATATTAGATTTCATGTTTTGATGTTTGCCTAATATCTATATATATATCAGGCATGTGAGTGTATATCCTCGTCTGAACATTCCTTAAACTCGTTCACTTCGTCAGAAGAAGAAAATGCATAGAAATCTCACTAAAGGCCCGTTTACATAAATTTGCAATTTTTGCCTGCAATTTCTATTGCGATTTTCTTCTTCTGACGGATGTGAATAAGTAAATATAAAGTTATGAATGATCTGAGTATATGTATACCCTCATCTGAACAGTACTAACTCGTGCATCAGGAGAAGAAAATTGCACCTAAAATTGCAAGTGCAAACATTTAGGCCTTAATAGAGGGTGTTGATGGGGTATATTGCGAGTCGTGATTCACTCATTCACGGGGGGTTGGATCACTGAGTCACATTTTTCTGATGGGATGTACTGCTAGCTGTCACACACTGTCACAAGGGGGAAGGGAGGGGTAACAAAATTGGCAAAACAGCATCAAATATCAAATATTTTGTGAATGGCCCCTATTTTATAGATTAAAGTTAGGGTGAATTGTGTATGATGCAACATCAAGTATTGAAATATGATGTAACATCAAGTATTGAAATATGACTTAACGTAAAAAATAATTGCCATTTGGGCACAGAATACTACACAAAAGTCCATCTCCATTGTTTTTAGCGTAACCTCTATTCATCATGATTCGTCACTCAGCAAGTACCGTAAACAGAAGCAGTCACCCCCCTGGAAATGCTAAAGTCCAGGGGGTGACTGCTTCTGTTTATGGACTTGCTGAGTGACGAATCATGACGAATAGAGCTTACGCTAAAAACAATGGAGATGGACTTCTGTGTAGTATTCTGTGATTTGGGGTGGCAAAAATATGTTATTGAACCAACCCGGCCATTATAACTCTTCAAGTTTCTCAAACAAAAGCAACAGCTGCAGTCAGTGCCGCAGTCTTGCTTTGATGCCATGTTTGCTTGTCATTAACTACTTTTAATTTGCCACCCAAAACGGCAGGAATCAACAAATATGTGTTGTGACATGGTCACTTGCAAGAGCCCAGCAATCATGTACCCACGATTAAAGACTGTGTCCCTATATTAAAAAGAATAGCCCCCCAGTGGATGCTAAACAAGTATTAATTTTTATGTGGCTTAATTCAATAAATGTACAGAATCATGTCATTTAAAATGTCACCAGACACTTACTGCACCCTTGAGAGGCTTAAAATGCTCCCACGGCCCTTACACATATCACCAAATGCACATTGCTTTTTAATAGTGAATGTTCAACTGAAAAACCTACCCCCTAATTTTTATAAACCTATTTTTCTGACATTGGTTTTCACAACAAACATGCTTGAATTAGCAGTCCAACATTCTTCACTGAACAGTACACTGTCCACACAAGTGTACAAGTGAATAATAGACTTTTCATACTCACTCAGCTTCATTTGCATGCAAATTGATATTTCAGATCATGTGATATGATTTCATATCACTCTCTGTTTTTATGCATTTTATATTTGAATATGAATGAAAAATAAATTGAGGTTTCTTAATTTAATTGTGCTGATCAGGTTTGATCAGGGCATAAAAAATGCCCCAGAAACGACGTACGTTCTGCAAATATCAAATATATACAACTGTGTCTGTGTAATTGACATACGTTTCAGTCGACGCTGTTTTACCCATAATGCGGGCCATATTCAGATATTCTGTTGTATTTATTTCATTTATATCAGAAAAAAGCTGTCTCAAAGCATAAAAAGATGAGCCAACGCATGTAATTGTCTTAGCCTTAGGCTTAGCCTTAAGTGCAACTGGCAAATTTCAGTCACCTTAGTCGCGCTAACGGTCTAAACAGTGTCAAATTTTCGGCATAGCCATTTATAGTCATAGCCAAAGGCTAAAGAGTAAAGGCTGGTTTACACTACCAAAGTTTCTGTGATCATAGTGCGTGGGTATAAAATTCTAAGTTTTGAAAGATTTGTAAGACATTTTTGAGGGAAGTGACTCGTTGTTTAACACTGAGACAGACTGAGACCGTTTCCTCAAACATTTCTTACAAATCCTTCAAAAGATAAATGCAAATTTACCAATGCAAAATTCCTACTGTGATCACAGAAACTTTGATACTGTGAAAAATCTGAGCACGAAAATTTCAGTTGTGAGAGCATTGCAGATAGCGGGATGGAAAATTGATGTTGGTAACTCGGATTGGAGAACTCTCATTGTCAGAAGCCAGTGAAGGATTTTTAAGCATCGGCGGTTATCGTATACGTTTCCTAAGATACTTTTTTTATACGTTTCTTAATCGAGATACTTTTTTTTTACGTTCCGACAGTTTCCTGAGATTTTTCGATTGATTGTACGGCTATTTTTTAACGCCTGCTAATGGCAATTTTTACAAGAATTTTGTATTAAGAGGCAATTTTTTTCAATGTCACGTATTTGCAATGAAAATTGTTCAAAACCTAAAATCTTTTTGGCGTTCCTTTGAAAATTACTTTGTTTTAGCTTTATTCTCTAGTTTATACAGTTAGCAACCTTTTTAAATGCATCTGCCGGTTGAGAAACATAAAATAATAGTCAAAAATTGTCAATTAAAATATAATTATCAATGATGCTTTAAAATTGACGCCATGTTTACAGCCATATAAGCAAAACTTACTGAACTTCAGACGTCATTTTCTCTTTGGCGTACCATCTAAAATCTTTTCAAATGGTATATTATACGCATTAGTTTTGAGCACGTGTTACGTAACATACAAAAAAATCTCCTCTTAAAGGTTAATAAAGTATAAAGGCTCAACATGTTTATAATTATACTTAGTATTTTTGCACAAGTGAATACAACAAATCCTGCAAGTGATTGGTCAAATTTGACGATGAAGCTGTTACATTCACCTATACGACCTCGTACCCAATGAACTATAAATAACTATAGTTTATTTATAGTTCAATGACAATGCCTGTACCCAGGCCAGGGTCAGGGGTGGAAAAAATAGGTGAGCATGCGAGCATTGCTCCCAGGAAATGTTAAACTGCTGCAAGAAATTTGTTTGAATGAAGATTTGCTGTTGAAAATCTGAAGGAAACCTTAACACCCATACCCACCATGGGCGCAACAACATATGGTCGACAGACATTATTCCTTCAATTTAAACCATGGTCAGCTAGAACACTATATGTTTAATATGCACATGCAGATTTAACACAAAAATAGTCCGTTAGTCTGCAGGAAATTTTTGTCTCCAGGTTATGCTCCCATGAAGAAAATTATTTTTCCTGCCCTGCCCAGAGTCCCCTACGGCCCTACGCGTGCATCAGAACCTTTAAACGCGGGGACCCTGCCCCCCGCTGGGTACGAGGTTGATTCACGTACAGGAGAATATAAACAAAACCAAAATTTGCAAAATAGCGGCTAGCCGTTTTGTGGTCCACTGAGTTACTGATAAAGAAATAAACAAAATTAAAATAAATTCAGTCCCAAAAAAACCCCCACAAAAGACTTGTGTAAAAATACTAAAACAGTTATTTACCTCAGGCTCGAAGATTATCGGGGAATATTCACCTCGACTTCGTCTCGGTGAATATTCCCCGATAATCACCTCGCCTTCGGCGAATAATTGTTAAATAACACGTCATTGATTCGCCCTGTATGAAGTTATTAATTTCCATGCCTATAAGTAATAAGGTCTGATTATTTATTTTATAGTGGTATGTTATCACGTTTTCTAAATCATTGCGTTACCGTATAATTGCGCGGTGCGAGTCAAAGTTATTAAACAATTAATTACTGAGCGGTGTTTGTTTGAGGAAGATAAATTGAGAAAAAAATGTTATGTGTTAGCAATTTATCGTTCAATTATAATAATTTGCATCTTTATTTAAAATTGTATGATAATTATATTCGATCTTTGTTGGATAACTCTTATCTCGTGCACTCGAAAAAAAGCCCTGAAAATCTTTTAAAAAATCTCTAAAAATCTCTATGAAATCCATAATAAGTTTGTTCTATGGTTTGTTAAAATCCTTCAAAATCCGAAAATCGCCGAAAATCTGTATATACTGAGCAATGTTAGTGAAAGATATGAAAGATTGAAATCAAAATTCGCATACGAAGCTGAGGCCTTGTCGAGGTCTTTTTTTACTTTTGTAGTGAGTTTTGTATAGGGATTGTGCTTTCTACATTCATGCATGTGTAGACTCATCAGCCGATTTCGTTATAAATCTGTTTTCCACTTCAATCGTATCGTACCGAATCCAAGCGTATTACTTCGTTTTGTGAGCACTCCGGCAGAAATTGGCACAAAAGAAAAGGCTACGGTGCGCGAACCGATACGGTTGATTCTTGAAGTAGAAAACAGGAATACTTTGGAGTTTGGTAGGAATTTTATTTTTCCGATGACAGTCTCATTACAGCTGCAATTTTATCCCGACTTGGAATGCGTCATTGATGCTGGATATGCAGCTTCATTGGGCGGAACCGTCTTAATTCTGTCTTCATTGTAAACATGTCTGATGATAACTTCAAAGACAATTAAGTTGCATTGCGCGAAGTGAAGTAGGCTCTGCAGCAGGGTGCATTACGTTCCGCCCCATGTTGTTTTTTTAGTCGGTGGGGCAACCTGTGGTGCCCACCGACTCTAGGTAGTTTGCCCTTTGATAGACCACAAAATGACGAATTACGTCATTTTTTGGGCAAAAAATTACGTAATTCTTACGAAATAAAAATCAAAATGGCGACCAACAATATGCGTACTATGTT